TGGTGAGTGGCATGGAAATTACATGCAATGTGATCTTTACCATGTCTATTTCCAACTGGTTCAACTTTAAATCCTTAGTGAGATCAATCCATCAATGCAACACAAAGTCACAAAAATAGAAAACCTTAGTGATTCATAACTAATCATAACTATCAACTTTATTCTGCAGAAAACTGAAGTTATAAAATTCAAGAATACATTGAACACTAACTCCCACTGAACTAAGGCAATATCCATAGTAACACTTATATGAGCGGTATACTCATAGAATACAGAAAGTGTTAATACCTTAGTATACTTTATAATGGAGCTATGAATTTGCTAGCATAAATTCATTCTTATGTGTTCAATAAAAATTCATTAACATGAATTTTATCCTTAGCAACAACAAGAAACTTTATGAACAACTTTTGTTGCTAAAAAAATGGCAAACTAATATTATCACAATAGAACTGTAGTGGTATTCAATATCATCCGCAACATGCAGCCTAGTGATAATATTATGCAGCGATAGCCTCATAAGATGCCTTCAGATAAGCTAAATCTCAATAGCTAAAGAGGAACAAACTATAAGTGTCTGCTTGGCACTTTCCATATTAGTTCTTCCAACTAGCAGTTAATGTAGCTTGACGTAAATTTGGATCTTTCAACTTTACAAACATCCAATAATCTCAAAATTAGAGTTTGAAATGATCTCCCAAATGATCCAATAATCGTTAAGTGAGTATAAACTCTCTTTTGTTCTCAAACAAAACTTTATAAACCCTTTGGCTGCATTCAATAGGTTAATAATCAAGATTTAATCATTTTTCAAATAATCAAATGTAGGTGGAATCCAAATTTTGAAAATACAAAAGATTACCAACCATATGTGTATATTTGGTCTATTCTAATTATACTCATGCTTGGGAAGATGAATGAGATAAAACTTAATTTTCCTTAAGTATCTCCCACTCAATCTATAGTATATACAATTATTAACTTTATTTATCTCGATAAAAAAAATGAGATAATGACTTTATATAATTGTAATACCATAGAGGGAGTTAACTTAATATCAAAAGCTTAAAAAATGACATAGATTACAAAGAGTTTCTCATCAAAACCGAAAGAAAAACCTTTTGTAACCAAAGTCCTTATTTAGATGAAACTTATGTTGACTAGACATACTTTATGTCTCTCATTATTGTCTTATGAATCTGAATCCATTAAGCCACATTTATGACCAACGAGACTCAGACATTTAGACAATTTGACAGGACCTCAAAGTGTCAATTCACACATAATTTCATCAAAGATTCATTTATACTTATTTAAGGTGGTTGAGTTTGCATTTTGGGACCATATTTGCATTCCAAAATAATGCTTCATAACCTTATCACCAACTCGAGCTAAACTTCCTCAAATTAACTTTAAATTCATTATTAAAAAACCTTATAGAATTTTAAACGAGTAGTTACCCACAATCTTTAATCCAAATTTACTTATAGACATGAAAGTCTTACCTTAGTGGGACAACCCCAAAGTGTAAGGCAAAAATCCAAAGGATGTGGGTTTTACTCCATTCACAAACTCTATTAATAATGAGACGCATTGCTTCTCAAAGAGGAGTGGTCAATCATATTTCTTTTTACCACAACCTTAACAAAATTGAGTAAGTTTCATATGTCTTGTACCACGTAAAAACTTGGTTGCTTTATGTGAGTGACAAATAAAAAAAACTATTCACGAAATACGTATGTGGTACAAAACTAAACTAGCTAACTCATATTGAGAAGCAAACTTATAATGTAGATTAAATGAAGGATACATTGTACATTAAGTCTTTTCTCGTTCAATTTTTCTTTAATCACATAAGAAAAGAAATACTTTATGCACAATTAAAGTGCCTTAGATTGAAAACGAGATCTAGACATATCACAATGTACTTCCTTATGTCCCATTTAACTTTATTGAAACAATAATCAAAAGATATATTATTTCATCAAATATCCTTAGTGAAACTTTCTACATTATCCATCAACCTTATGTCCCAATAATAACAAAATAAGACAAAATAAAGATTCACCATTTTATTTTGTCTGCTTTAGTGAAAGACCATAAACCTAATTCTTTATGTTGATTTAAAACTCCATGAATAAAGAAAGTTTAAAAATCAACCTTTAGATGGATAACTCTATAGATCCCTGAGAGCATACAATTAATAACATCAATATTTTCTGCTCATAAAAATTACTTAGAATTAAATTATATATTCAAATAATGGTAGTCTCATCTCAAGACATTACAACTCCATTAACATTTCATATTTGAAAAAAAATATTAACTTGTAATATCTTAGTACAATGATCAAACATTGACAATAAGATCATATCAAACAATAAATCTTCCTATGGGCCGACTTATCATTCATATGTATAACCAAATAATTGTCACATGTTTATCATTACAATACCGCACATTATTCTAATGAGCACTTCCCAATTCAATTTAAATAAAAGCCTATAAATCAAATTAGATTTATATTTAATCAAATCCAAGAAACAAGTTTGGACTTTAACTAATATGCCTCAATAATATTAGCCTTCAAAAATTTAATAGCATACGTAACTGTCTAACATGTAAGTGCACATACACACAATAGGCCATTAGTGATATACTCAAGCACAAATATCCTATCCAGTCACAGCAAAATACATGCAACACACGACCCGGATTTATTTATTTTATTTTATTTTATTTAATAATATAATGGTCCCATTTAAAACAAATTTAGGATTCTAGACATGTTCAGCAGGGCTGCGGCTGGATTTATGAGTAGTTACACATCAACCCAAATCAAGTTGCAGGATATATTAATCAAACCAATTAAAAAATTCCCCTTTCATGCGCATCCATTAAAAAACAATTAGATGGATAGATTAGCATACCACATCGAAATTAGCATATAATCAGATCCTCTTTCATCGAATCTGGATACAAGCGCATAGAAAGAGTTCAAAATATTGAGTTTAAACTGAATACGAATCTATTCAATCTAGATCTAGCAATCGATGACTGCTCTGATACCGCTTGTAGGAATTTATAATCACATAATATAAATTCAATAACAATTATCCTATAACATGCTTTAATTCTAGGAAATCAACATCGTGCTAGATCTGAAAGATTATTAGAAATACTTGATCCATTGAGATTGTGTCGAGGTGCGGAATACCTTATCATCAATCTCTGGATCTCATCTCTATGAATGTTGACATGAACACGATCTGGATCACGAACACGTCCTCGATCACGAACGGGGTTGGTTTTATGGCCTTCCTCAACTAAATCGCCTTATTCCTCATATGAGACCATCATTCTCAATTCAGATGGGGAGAAAAGAAAATTATGTTTGATTTAGTATATTGGGGACCATAACCAAGAGGGTCTTTATATACTACTAGGGTAGGTCACCCATTATCACCTAACCCTAATAATATTAGGTATCCACCCAATAAGCCCATATCAATTTACGTAGCCCATGGACTCTACTTTATTTAGATCACTTAATTGAGTCCATTAATTAATTGAATAGCTAATATAATTGTACATTATATGTTGCCCATAATCAGATTATATATAGGAAATAAAATATTCCTTAACATTTTATGCATATTTTTCCATTGTACCCTCATTTAACTAATACACTACACGTTTTGAGAGGAGCGTTGTGCAATATGATGAGTTTTTTTCTCTTAAAAGAACATAAAAAAACAAGCAAGAAAGAAATTAATTAACCTCTTTCAGGTTGAGCTGGTGGCATGACAATGGAGGACGAGTGGATGGTCATTTTACTGCTTTATGTTATAAAATAGGAGTTTTCTCCGTCCAAGCCCTGAAAGATAGTTTAATTATCAATTTGGGCCTTGAAAGATTCTTTTTATCAATTCGGGACCTGAATGTTTCATAACTATCAATTCGGGGCTCTTATAATTGACACCGTTAAATAGTCTTTATTAACAATGTGATGTGGCTGTTAAATTAATATGTAACCAAGCCATGTCAACTAAAAAAATAATAAAATAATAGCTAGAATATAGTACAAGAATCAATGCATTTTACGAGGTCATTTTACTTCTACACCCATTGAAGATTATACATTATCGGCACCAAAATCCAACCATGAACCATGGGATAAATCGATAATCTGCGGATCAAAGTTTACTATCTCACAGGTGCCTTCATCATTATCTGTTCTCCGTTTCCAATATCCAATGCTCCACGAAATTATAATGGCTGAGGATGGTAGGATAGTTATTTGGGAATCTAAAAAAAATTGCATTTTTTTTTTTAAATCTATCTATTATCGGATTTTTTAATTTATATTGAATAAATCTTATGTACTTATGTAAATGTTGTGATTGTGGAGTGAAATAAAATAGTAGGACTTTTGCTCATTAGTGACTTATTTCATGTAGCTATGGTGTTCGAGAAAATGCCTCAATAATGTTCTTTTATAGTTGATTGTCCATTTATAAGTACTTCATCCAAAAGAAGAAATCCCTCGTTGGTTTGAAAGTTGATTGTCCATTGAATCCTCTTAAATGTAATGATTTCTAAATTCAAGCAAGTGCATTCATTTTCATTTGGATCTCAAATCGTTTTTTCTTTAGTTGGATTGTATTCATATTGAGTATTTTTATTACGAATCAAATATGAATTCAATTTGTCAAGGCCATCTAGAAGAATAATATTAAGTCTAATTATTTCTTTGCTATATTTGCTGCAATGAACAAAAATATATAACTCTCAACTAAAAATAATCTTCATCAAAATAAATCAAAAGCTCAAAATTGAATCTCCATATAACAAAAGCTAAATAACATAAAGCAGTTGTTTCCTCCTAGACATTTCTCCAATTCATCTTCATCAATTTGGCTACTCAATCACTCAAAATAAAACCACACAAAATCAAGAAATTGAAAAAAAAATCATGGTTGTCCTGTTGCATTCCATCTTCATGCATTCGGAGAACCTTCTTGCTGTGAAAAGAATGACACTGACTGAGAAATCAGAACCTAACAAAGAAACCTTGTATTATTTACATATAAAATGTGATTAGAGAAAATGTCATTAGAAGAAAATCATACCTGCTCACTCTCTTTGCAAGACCTTTTATTATGACCAGAACCACCACATTTGCCACATTTGATCACACCATATTTCCTCTTAGCTTTATGGGGATCTTTACCTTCCAATGAAGATTTGTGTCGTAACTTTTTCGGCATCTCCGGTGGTTGTTTTAACAAAGGTGGTTGAATAGACTCATTATCTTTTTTCGGCCAAAAATTCGGACCCGTCATTGGATTTATTTCATGTTCATAGGCTCTGAAAAAGTACTCTATCGTAAGATATTCATGCACATAGCTTTCGAGATGACCCTTAATGAATTTTATTGTTGCACATGCATGCACACAAGTAATCCCGGTCAAGTCCCATATCCTACATGTACATGAACGATTTTGTACACTAACCACAAACCTTTGAGGTCTAAGTGTAACCTCAAATAGAACCTCCCCACAGGAAGCGACTTGCCACCTAGAACTTTCCATAATGAACCCATTCAACTTGTCTGGTACCTCTGGGCATATTAAGCCACCCTTCCTTCTCATCTTTTCTTTTTTCTTTCTCATTAGTGTCATTGTTTTGATCTTGATATCATCAAGAAGGATGACTACAGGATTATCTCTGTATTTCTTAATAACACCATTAAAGCACTCCACAATGCTACTTGAAAACACATGACACTTGACATGAGCTTGAAAATGTGCTCTACTCCATCTTTGAGCACCTATTGAGGTAAGATGTTCCCATGCGTCAAGATCTTTTTCCTTCATCTTGTTCATGTGTGCATCGAACTCATGGTTAGTAGTAGATATTGCAGCTAACCAAAACAAAGATCTTACTAGCTCGTCTTCCCATTTTTTTTCTATATTGCTATATACGTGGCGTACACAAAAACGATGATACGGGGACGGGTAAATTTCCTCAAGTGCAGCCACAAGCCCCTATCCACAAAAAAATAAATATATATATCACTTTAGCAAGATAACCTCAAATTTGTATGATTAAATAAGAATATAAGCAATATACAAAAGCACAAGAAATTAGAAGTAAATTAAAAAAATAAATAAATAAAGCAAGCCTATTTATTTAACTTTCTTTGGTCAGAAATGAAAGTCCGTCTTTCTCCATGGATGGATGTTTGCCCAATATCCTTCAGCAAGTTCTCAAGGAACCATATACATGTGTCTTTAGTCTCAGATGCAACTACAGCATATGCTATAATGAATAGGCCATTATTTCCATCAAGACTTACTGCCGCAAGAAGTTGACCACGATAATATCCAGTTAAATGACATCCATCTATTGCAATCAATGGCCTACATCCAGCTAGAAAACCTCTTTTGCAAGCATCTACACATATATATAACCTATCAAACCTTGAAGGACTATTCGGACCATCTTTTGAAACCAATAATTCTATAGTGGATCCAGTATTTGTCCGAAGCAGCTCTACACGATAATCCCATAATCTTGAGTATTGTTCAGCTACATTACCATCAAGCAATTGAAGAGCATATGCTTTTACCCTATAAGCCTTAGCAATGCTAGTTGTGACATTATATTGCTCTGCTATATGAGCTTTCAATTCCTCGCATGTCATGTTCGAGTGGTCTCTTAAGTCCTCAACCACTTTAGTAGCCAACCACTTGGTATTTGCAAACTTTTTTTGGACCTCCGTCTTTTGACAATTATGGCAGTCAATGAAAGTTTTTACTTTGTAAGTTTTTGAATTGCCAACTTTCGAACAAAATATTAACCAGGGGCAACTTTTTGCGCACTTTACTCTGCATCGATCCCTGTCTTTTCTAACAAAATCCAAATTATACATATTCAAAATTTCATAAGTTTTAATTGAGTCATAAAAGTCATCAATAGATGCATATAATTTCCCCAACCAAAAATTCACTTCTCTTTGTTGAGGTAATATGGGTGCGGATTCAACTTCATCTTCTCCGCTTAAAGAATCAAACCCACGAATACTCCTCAGCTCCATTAAAGATTTAATTGTATTTGCTTCAGAAGAGTTTCCACCTTCATCCCATTGATTACCCCTTATTATCTCAACCAATTAGTTCGATGAATTACCGTCCATGAAATTATCCTCATCACTGTAGCCTTCATCAAAATTCCATTCATAATTTCCAGGCGTCTGTTAAGAAATATATGTAAATTTCATGACATTTTGCTTTCATTTTCATTAAATATATTTGTGTATACACCCAAATGATTTGCATTAGAACATTGAAACCAATAAAATAATACAGTCATTAAAATCTCAAATACAATATAATTCTCTATCAGGTTTCTTTCATTTTCATTAAGTCATTAGAAAACTTTTCTCATTTTCATCAAGAACTTTATTTTCTCTGTACAAATAACACAACATAAACTCATATACAATTTGCATAAAAGTTTGAAACCGACATTTGTAATACACCAAAATGTCCATGATTAATTTCTTTTGATCGACAACTCGAGTATTTGAATAATTTTCAAAATCAATTAAAAAAAGGCAAATATTTTTCTACTAATAATCCTGGAGCCCGTACATATGGATATACATTAGAAGAAAACTTACATGTTCAAGGTTGATTGAGGAGTTGAATATGAGCTTCGTATCACAATCGGAACTAATTACATGTAAAAGGACGAAAGGTTTTGTGTAGTGAGAAAATAAAGACGAAAGGGTTTGTGAAAGAAGGCCGAAAGGTTTTGTGTAGTTGAATAGTTTATCCTTGCCCAGTGTCACTCGTTCTCCTAAAACCTCATGTTAATTATATATAATTTAATCATAATTTAATGTTAACAAATTTTATTATTAATATTATTATTTTTTTAGTTGACGTGGCTTGGTTACGTATTAATTTAACAGCCATATCACATTGTTAAGAAAAGTTATTTAACAGTGTCAATTATGAGAGCCCGAATTGATAGTTTTAAAACATTCAGGCCCCGGATTGATAAAAATAATCTTTTAAGGCCCGAATTGATAATTAAACTATCTTTCAGGGCTTGGACCGATAAAACTCCTGTAAAATTGTTTCCGCTATGACTGATGTCTTTCTGATGAACTTGCTCTGGGGATATTCGAACATGATGATGTTTTGAACTTGATTTCGAAACTTGAACATGATGATGATTATGACTTGGACGATTTTTTATTGCGAGACTATGTGTATGTATGATTTACTATTAACTCGTATACATGTGATGTGATAAATTGGGCAATGAGTTCCCTAAGACTCAAATATGACTTGAGCTAATTGTGAAAATGATGTGAATAATGCCAATATATGTTTAAAATCGAAAAATGATTCTCGAAAATTTAACCTTGATTTTTGGAGAAGTCCGAAATTTTCTTTAAAAATCATTGGGGCGTTTTAGTGTGGTATCAGAGCAGGTTTACGTTTCTGTAGACTGCTTTATGAATGTAATGCCCCGAATCAGTAATAATAATATTAAGAACGGTTTCACTGCTCGACAATAAGAGAAATCCGTAATTTTCAGAAATTCTAAGTATTTTATTTGCTAAAATGCTCAATTATGTTAGATTATTCTTTGAAATTTTCTATGTCAAGTTAAAGTCAAGATCAATCCATTGATTTGGGTTGATAATTGATATCTAATCGACTCAAGAAATTGTTGGTTTCGAACCCTAGTTTCATTCTGGGTTTATTTCCAAGTCATTTTCGAGCATAACCTAGCCTTTGGCTATTGAACCCTAGACTTGCATGCCTCGGCACTAGCATATAAAACCCTAGAAGGTTAAATACTCGGCCTTAGAAGTGGCCTCGAGCCATCATAGTGATGAGGGCACGCGAGCTATCGCACATGCAAGTTCAAATGCTCGAGTCTCCCGCACGAGCTCGCCGTGCCCCGAGCCTCCAAGACCCCAAGCCCCGAGGAACCTAGCACGAATACAAACCATCAGTGTCCATGTACTTAGTAGATGGTTTTGATGTGGGTAAATACCGAGCACAAGCACGAACACTCTTAGCCTCACGTCCGCGCGCGCATCCACCTGAGCCGAGTCCGCGCGCGAAAGAGTTCCCAAGCAACGAACCGGGACTTAGCCACTTCAATCCCTTATTCATGAGTTGTCCGTGTATTTAGTAGGATTATTAGTCTTTTTCTAAGTCCTAATTAAGCTCTAGAGTCATTAGCCAAGTCAAACTACCCTTAACCAATTTTAGATACTATAAGAAGAATGAGTGCTCTAGTATTTTAATGTCTTGTGTAAGACACCACTCATTTCCATAGTGATAAACCAGACTTGTCAGCCTCTTTTTCAGCCATTACCTCGTGCACTAACAACAAGATTCTCCTCCATCATGTGCTAAGTCACTTTGTGCATGGGAGTTAGAAGTTGTAAGGCATTGTCCCCTAAATTGTTCCCCCACTTTCTTTCTTTGTTATGTCCGCCCAAGACCCATCTTTAAGGCCTCACTTCAGCTCCTCTTAGACCTCATTTGATACCATCAAACTCTTAAAAATTTTGAGCAAGAAAGCCCCTTCTAAAGCCAAAAGCCGAGAGTTATTTCAAAGTGCCGAAAAGAAAAAAAAAACAGCTCACCCGAGTGCATTGTTTGAACTTGTTCTGGAATCCTAAACATCAAACCTTCAATCCCTCAGCTATATAATCATCCTCCAGCATCTCCCTCTATTCCTAGAAGCTTTTAGTGCCAGCAACCTCAAGGATTCAAGCCAAAGGAAGCAAGAAGACGCAGCCATTCAAGAACCGAGCGAGAACCGAGCATACCCAACTTCTTTTGCGTTTTTCTTGAAGATTAAGAGGTTTGTGTGCTTAAATATTTTTATAATAATAATATAGATGAGATAAAGAGTTTATTGGTATAGATATGTGCCATATATGTTCAGTTATGAAGGGTATATAAGCATGCAAAATGTATAAATGCTCTCAGCTCACTTGCATGTTCCATATGTCATGTTTTTGTACGTTTTTTACTATGCTCTGAAAAATTTGGGAATGTGAGAATTTTATGAATATTTTTTGTGGAAGATAGGAGTTCATAGGATCAAGAATTAGGTCAATTGGTTTAGTATAACTCGAGTTCTTAATTTTTAAAGTTAAACATTCAAGATGAACTTTACATGCGCAAATTTCAGTTGCGACTTCAGTTATACTCAGGATAAAATTATTAAATTTTATGGACATGTTTATATATGAGTTGAGAGCCTCCATACCAAATTTCATGATTTTATCATAAGAAATGAAGGGTTTATAATTTATAGGTCGCATGCGTGTCGAACTAATTTTATGTGCGAGAGTACTCTGTCCACATGCAAGCTATGAATGCAAAACTTTTATGTAAAATCCTCTTATGAGTGGTGAACATTGTGACCGAGTTTGAGCTTACATTATTGATCATGTGATTTTACAAAATTGTTGCAATATGCGCATGTATATAACTGAATTTCATGTTATGCTTAAGTCATGAGTTTATTAAGCAAATGAAGTCCTATTGACATGAAATTTGGACAGCAAGTACATGTCTATATCTACTATTTAACTGCCAAGTTTAGTGATTTTTTGAGACTTGTGTGAATTTTAAAAATTCATGAGGTTAAGAGCTCAATTATGTTCGGTTTAAATTTTAGACAAATGTAAAATCTTGATTTAATTGAGCTTCATGAGTAGACATGGCTTAGTATAAGTTAAGTGGCCGGAGAGGGTCACCTTCCCGCCCTGATCGGCAAGCAGCCTGTGCCGCACGGTCAGCGTGCGCGCGTGCCGCCCGGACCGAGCCTAGGTCACCAGTCGAACTGGAGCCGGTTCGGTAAGCGGACCGGTTCGACTAAGTTAGACCAGCTGGTTCAAACCAGATTAAGATAGACTGATAAATTCAGTTTTCAGGATTCAGTCAGACTTTATCCGGAAACGCTAGATCGGTCCAGTCGAGCAGAAGAGCAAGTCCAGTTTACTTGTTTACGCGATCTTAATTGTTTTATCTGTTTTGTTATGTATGGATGTAATTATTTATCTGTAATCTGCCTTATCTGCCTGCCTGCTTATCTGTTATAATATAAAATGATCATTTCAGATTAAGTTTAGCAGTCAAGCAAAATACTTAGATTATTTTTCTTGTATATGTTTGGTAGCTTGAGGAGAGTCGAGCCTCCGACAGCTACCCAGATTTTCCAGCACTAGCGTAGTCCTTTTCAGCATAACAGGTGGGGGTCATGTACTGGATTCAACATCATGTATAATATCTATACCATGGCAGAGGTATGTTCGAGACAGTTAGTTTCTCTCAGGTGGAGGCCGAGGGCCTTAATATCCCATCTTGGGACCCGGTGGAGGCCAAGGGCCTTAATATCCCATCGGGGTGTGCACACGAGCGGCCGAGGGCCGAGAGTCTTTTGACCACAGTAAAGCAAGAAAATAAAAGTTTACAGTTTAAGCTCTTATATATATATGTTCATGACACGTTATTATAAATGTTGTTTTATTCAGTACTGGTCTTTGCGGAGCATAGTGGTTTGCTCACGCCCCCATTGTGTTTTTCAGGAGACGGAGTCGAGCGAGCCGGATGAGCACAAACGTGGCAAAGCGTGGTCATGAGAGTCTTGGACATTTTTACGCACATTTTATGTCCCAGTATTTATGATCATGTATTATTCGGATATGTATGCATGTATTTTTTGTATTTCGGATGCTTCCGCTAGCAGACTAGACAGTGCGAGACAATTCAGACATTGCATGTTTAATTCCATTATTCGTAGCGGATAGTTTGGTTGCGTGTTTTATATATGTCTATGAGCAAGTTAAGTAAGTTTTCATTTGTGACATCCCGCAACAAGTTAGTATTTTCGAAAACCAAGCTCGCACGATCTTTCAAAAATAAAAGCGAAAATTTTACTCTGATTTTTCAAAGCTAGTAAGGCGGGGTGTGACAATGAAAATGTTTGAGAAATAGTAAAATGACCATTCGTCTTCTTCACGCCGCACTAGCTCAAGGTATGTGCTATGAGGTAATATGTTTATGATGTGTTTATTGGTTTTTTTTTATTAATTGAGGTTTAGGAATTTATCCTCCTTCTTTGAATATTTTTTAACGTTAGTGTTTGAGTCTCGTGCTAAATTTTTCGGCTTATCTTGTTTATAGATATGCCTCCTCGCCGAGCGCCGCATGCTCAGCAGGTCCCACCCACTCAGGGTGACGATCATACTCAGACGATCATTATGTTTCAGCGGCTAAATCTGCCGACTTTTACCGGAGCCGAGGTACCCGCAGCCGTAGCTGAGTGGATTCGCAAGATTGAGTGGATCTTTGACTTGCTCTTCTGTACGGATGAGCAGCGCATCGCTTGTGCCCAGTTTCAGATGGATGGAGATGCCTCCACCTGGTGGTCCGATTATTGGAGACTGAGGCAGACTGAGTGGACGAACCTAACTTGGGATCGTATGAAGGAGATTGTGCTTGAGAAACATTTCCCACAGAATTATCGGGCCAGAATGGAGCGGGAGTTTTGGGACCTTCGCCAAGGGACCAGAACCGTTGAGGAGTACGAGCGAGACTTCGCTCGTATGAGTGCTTTTGTATTGCATCTAGTGGACACTGAGCAGAAGAAGGCCACTAGATTCCGGGATGGGCTTCGCCCGGATATCTGTCTCCTGTTGACTAGCCATGTGGACCTACCATATGTTGAGATGGTGATACGTGCCCAGCAGTTAGAGAGCTGCCAATCCTTCACGCACCCGTGCCATCATACCAGCATGCTCAGATGATCCAGCCTGTTACTGCTGTTCAGACTGGTTCTCATTCGAGCAAGATGAAGGCCGACCACCACTGGGACCATAAGAAGGGGAAGCGCGGAGGTTTTGGTAGACGTGACGACCACTTCGCAGCTCAGGTTCAGATACCGATGTGTGCATCGTGCGGCAGGAATCATTCCGGGGAGTGTCGTGCTGTCTAGAGGAACTGTTACAACTGCTATCGTCTAGGCCATTTTGCTTACATGTGCCCCGAGCCGAGGAGGTCGCAGCAGGGACCATTCCCCCAGCCCCAGCAGCAGATTTAGCAGCCCCAACAGCAGTTCCGACAACAACAACACCAAACCAGCAGAGGATTGGAGTACAAACCCGAGTCTATGCTTTGACCCATGAGGAGGCCGCTACTAATGCAGGTACCATGTCTGGCATGCTATTCAGATCAAATGTGCCCGTATTTGCATTGTGTGACACCAGGGCCACGCACTCTTTGAAGGTGTTGGGTATCCGGGGTGTTAGCACGGTCGATGCTCTTGAGGTTAGCCTTGCCTCGGGAAAGACGATTGTCACTGACACTATTGTGCAAGGTTTCAGAGTTAGCATTGACGGAAGGAGTCTGGAGGCCGACACGTATATCATTGACATGCGGGACTTTGATATCATCCTAGGCATGGACTGGTTGACCCGATACCGAGTCGACATCCGATGCCTGAAGAAGGAAGTGACCCTACGTCCCGACGATGGCCAGCCGATCACGATTTATAGAGCGAAGTCGAGGACGGTACCTCGAGTCATTTCATCCTTGAAGGCGATGCAAAGCTTGTCAAAGGGTAGCTGTCAAGGCTACTTAGTGAGTATTGTGGGCGAGGAGTCGAAGAAGTCTCCGAAGAGCGTGTCTATAGTATGTGAGTACTTGGATGTATTTCCGGAGTAACTGCCTGAGGGACCGCCGGACAGACAGATCGAGTTCACCATAAACTTAGTGCCCGAAGCTAGTCCAGCTTCAAAGGCACCTTATACGGCGCCGAAGGAGCTGCAAGAGCTCAAATCCCAAATCCAGGAGCTGCTTAACCTTGGTTTCATCCGACCAAGTGTTTCACCATTGGGAGCGCCAGTATTGTTTGTGAAGAAGAAGGATGGGTCGATGCGAATGTGCATTGACTACCGGGAGTTCAACAATCTGACCGTTAAGAATAAATACCCACTTCTCTGACTAGAGGAACTATTCGACCAACTGAGGGGAGTCGGCGTGTTCTCTAAGATTGATCTGAGATCTGGATACCATTAGCTGAAGATTAGAGAGTCCGACATCTCAAAGACTGCGTTCCGGATTAGGTACGGTCACTACGAGTTCGTGGTGATGCCGTTGCACCAACGGTATTTATGGACCTTATGAATCGGGTCTTCCATCCGTACTTAGACCAATTTGTTATCGTGTTCATCGACGACATTTTGGTGTATTCCCGGGACGTGGAGCATCTAAGGATTCGTTCCCCGAGTTGACCTCTCGAGGAAGGCGGTTCGGAGTCTAGAGTCGGTGTTGATTGCACACAAAAGAAAATAAAGACCTAAACACTCTAATCATGGTAAAGAAGGCTTTAACTACCGACTAAGCGATACCAAAAATGCAAAATAATAAATTAACATAAACACAAGAATAAAGCAATGATAAAGATGCTAGGGAGTCGAGGACAATTCATTCTAGTTATGCACGCAAAACTGGGCAATTACTTGTTCGATTCAAGATTGACGCTCTCGCTTAAACATCTAGCGGTTCGCTCCCAATAACTTTTTGTAACAAGATATTGAACATAGACGAGCAAGTTCGAGCATACAACACCGGTCTAGGGGTCCGATCCAAATAACTCTCGTAACAAGGAAAATGGCATAGAGGAGCATGTATTTCAATGGATAAACCCATAGACTATTCTATTACGAACTCGTCTACCTCGTGCGAGCCAAAGACTACAACTTTCTCCCTTTTGGTTCCAAAAATTGCTAATTTAAATTAGAAGGTGATTAATCAACTAATTGGTTGGGATTGATAAACCTTCACACGAAAGAACAATATCCAATTAGGCCCAATTGCAAGATGAAGTGTCACTATTCAATTATATTAAACTTCCAAGCAAAAATTCAACCACCCGATTCAACACAACTCGCACGAGCAAGAACACCTCAAAACCTGACAAATACGAACGAACAAGAACAATTATCCTCAATCCCTAGCAATCAAATTTAGCTAAGCAAAATAAATTCAACACAATCAATCATTTCAACCCAAATAATCAATTTCATCAATTAAATGAAAATGAAACAACTTACGATTAATATGTAGAAATCGTTCTTGAATCCAAGTTACAAGCTTAATCCAAAGGCAAGAACAAAATCTAGGTGTAAAATGGAGTTGATTTGGAGAAAAATGAAAATAGAAAAATAGAGAAGAAGGAGAGGAAGAGAGCAGCAATGGCGGACGGGGGTAGGGTTTCTGCTTTCGCAGAAAAGGAAAAAAATCAGAGAGTCAAGAGAGAGAAACCGACCATATATATATATATGGTCTAGGGAGCCACGGCCTGGAGGAAGTTGTGGCATGGCGCGGCAGGGGAACTGGCTTTGGCACGGCGTGGCGCCTAAGAGACGCGCGTTGTCGGCCCGTGGCACGCGCGGTACCGCGGCGGGGCGTGCAATCCTGGGCGCAGTCTCTGTTGGCTAGTGGCATGCGCCGCGAGGCCTGCCGCGGCGTGGCGCCCTGGGGCATGTGTCCTATGCATGACTATGCTTCTCGGGCTCGTTTGAACTCGTATGAACTCGGAATTGAGTTCTATTTTTTTCTGCTAGTCGCTGACGAACCCTTCATGAAAGACAAAATAACAACGAAAAATGCAACAAAAATGAGACAAATAACTTCATCCGAGCTACGTGCTCGTCAAGCCAACGTAATAGTAGGTGCCGACCATCCTGTCGACCCCTTCATTGAACGAGCTTCCGACGTTGTAGTGCTACCCTAACCCAATCCTTTCTTTTATGCTGAGGACCCTGAGATAAAAGCTTTTATGCAGTTGTGCGAGTTTCCTCCTGACTGGGTGTTCCAAGCCCCGTCCTTGGGTAGCTCGTACAACCGTCCTCCTCTAGGCTTTTACACTATCTTCGTCGACTAAGTAGTTAGTGGTCTTCGTTACCCATCCGCCCCGTTTTGCTCGCCCTAACCGAGCTATATCAGTTTTCTATCAACCAGTTTGCCCCTAACAATGTTCGTATATTAGTAGGCTACACCATCCTTAGCCACTACCGCTTTCAAAAGTTAGATCCTGAATTCTTTTTCTATTGCTATGGTCTGAAAGACCAACGTGATGGGTCGCTTTACCTTAGTGCTCAAAACCGAGCTGATTACCTTAGGGAGCTCTCCACAAAGATTAGCCATTGGAAGTCTCAATTCTTTTTTTTTTCTCAAGCCCCATGTAGGTACACTCAACTTCAACTTGGAGTGGCTTACCCAAGCTCCTAAAAAGCGAAAACCAAGGAGAGTAGCACATCATGAAGATCTTGTGACCGAGTGGAACAAAGTCCCTTATCACATAGGGAAACTCACATCCCCGAATGAGCTTCGTTCCCCTTTATGGGCTAACCTATAAGAGGGTTGCTCCTTTTGACATAAGTATACCCACTAACAGTTCAGATTATTTGTTCGTACAATGTTACATTATACTCAGGTAGATGTACTTATTCTTAGACGGGGAAGATGCTCAGACTGAAGAAGATGCCCAAGTCGATCAAAACCCTCTGAACTAGATCTTGTATTCTTAATCTGTTGTTGTTGTGATGATTCAGTTCGCACTTTATGTACTATGTATTTTATCTTAAAACAATTGCCTCATGTGTGAGGCCTTTTGGGATGTTCCTACTATGAACTCGTTTTTTCTTCTCATTCATGTCATTGTCAATTTCTGCCAAGCATAAGCAGTTCTCTTATATTTTGATTTTTATGTTTGTGAAAAAGAAAACATCCTTTCATCCAAATATCGTCAAGTATAACAGCTCTTCTATACATTGATTTTGATTCTCATGAGTTCGTCCTAGTCTTTTGTAGTTATCCGTCACACTCAATTAATAGCACCCGAGCTTGTAAGAGTTCGGCCTTAAGAGTTCGGTTGTTGATGACACAAAACTAGTGTCAATGGTATGTTTCATTGTACTTCAAGTTTTCAGGAATTCTTTTGCAGTAGTTGTCACTTTTGATAGTCACAATGCTCACATTCTTGCAGATCATCATTTGTGAGGTTGAAGGGAATTTAAAGGAGCTTATTTTGGATGAGGTTAGTTAGTGTGCTCTTCATTGTTTTCACTGCTTTTGCAGTTCATGTCTAATGGTTGAATTCTCTGTCAAATTTGTTTTTTCTCTTTTTGTTGATATCCTTGCTTTTACTTTTAAATACTGTAATAAATTTTGTATTACTCTGGAAACTAGACAGTTGTGTTTTAAATCACATCCATGATTTTTCCTTTTTCACTCCCAATGATTTACTGTGCTACCATTTTTTTTTTTTTTTNAATATATCTATTGCTTTTGGATTATTGATAAATTTAACATTATTTACTCTAGTTTTTATTTCAGAGTATATCATATGATGGTGAAACTGCTGAAAGAGATGGCTATGGTGAATGATGACAACTCTGATTCAAATATGCAGCTTAATGAAGGTGGTAAGAAGGATTCTTTTAAGCACAGGCAAGAGTTGCTCGTCAAGCAGTGGACTTGCTGAATGCTGAGATGTGTTGTACCATGTGCAATTTTTGTGGTAAATCGCTGAGAAAAAAGCATTTGGCATAGTTCTATTGCTACAAACTTTCGATGGTAGTACTTAGTTCTGTCTTGCGAGTATTTGAGAATATTGTGATAGTCATTGCTCGTCAACTCAATTTTCCAGCTCGAATGTAATTAATGCGTTCTTAGAGACCTCAGATTCAAATAAAAGAAACTAACCACTGGTAATGTGGGACTGAACAAGGAAAATGCTTTTGGGGGGGAGAAAAATTAACATTTTTCTGACTCTCTTATTTTATGTTCATGATTTCTATGTGGTTATATATACCTATGAAAAAATTTGAAGCTTAAGCTGTGTGACTATAGATGACTCAATGTGTTCTATTCTTACAAATGCAACATATATACAGTGCTGATGTTAATATCATCATCATAAGAAGCCAATTCATATAAATAAAGAGATCATTCCAAAAAGCTCTGGAGACTAGGTTGAAAAAAAAATAAAAAAAAAATTAAAGAATAACAACCATGAAAAAAATAAAAATAAAAATAAAACAAGAACCTTCTTGTAGTTTGTTTCCATTTAACATTTTTCCCCTTTCACTGTAACAAAATCAAACTTATAGTGTTTAAATTGTCATTGCAGATGGTAATTTGTGCACATAAATGCAGAGGGATGTTAATATCCTTTTCCCCTGTTGCAGTTAAGCTTCAAGGATTGTTTTTACTATAATCCCAGAAATCATGCCTCAGAAATATCAAAAGAAAAAAGAAAAGCTATCATTTGAGCAAATGTGAATCAACAGTTTCCAGACATAAACGGCATTCTTCTGGGTCGATACTGAAAAACCGGGGACCCCTCGACCCCTTTATCAATATTTATGCATCTATTAGTATTATTTCCCATTCTAAATCCGGCCCTTAAAATCTCCATCCTCTCGTGATTGATTATTGTTGTCCTGTTTGGAGTGCAATAATAATCGGCAGGATTGAAAACTGGCAGCTCGGTTTTTGCGACGTATGCAGTTTTGGCGAGATGTCTTCTTGTTGACGCTGTTAATAACAGACACTTCTCGATGACGTTGGCCTCGTCTTTGAGTTTGTTACGAAGCTCTTTCATGCGGATTTGGAAGCGGACGAGCCTCGATATCTCTTTGTGAGTGTAATTTTTGTGTGGGGGGTTAAGGTTATTATTAGTGTTATTAGGGTTGGTGTTGTTGCATTTGGGGCAGGGAATGGTTTTTTGCCTCTCTGAATCAAATGCTGCTCTTCTTGCATTGTCTGATAGCCATAAATATGCCTGTTTTTGGTGTGTGC